AGTAGGGTTTCAGTGTGCATCCTCTTGGCGAGAGCTTACATGTTCGTTATCTTTAAGAATGTGGAACTATAGACTATACCTTTGGATTTGGTCGTCTTATCAAACAGTTTGTCTAATATTATTAAAAAATTTCACAATATATGAACACGTTACATAATAATAAATGAGAATTTCTTAACGCACCCTATATGTTTCTATTGCACCATGCGAATTTCTACAAATGCCCCTTGTTTTCGAAGATGCATCTCTGAATGCATCAAAAGTTCAGTTAACATTAAAATATTTCGGAGATGCATCTTCGAAACATTTTGGAGGTTAGGTCGTGCCAAACTCTTTTCCTTCCTCATTTTTCATTTTACTCAAACTCAACTAAATCTCTCTCAAACTACACCAAGTCAAATTTCATTTAACAAGGCTCATGAGAACTCAAGGAAACATCAATATTCATCTGTAACATCATCCAACTTCATGAAAAACATCAATTTCTTATAAGTTTTTCGAGTTTGATAAATGTTTGAATTTTGTTGTAAATGAGTAAAAATCAATAATTATAGTTAGAAATGAGTAGAAATCACATTTAAGATAGCTTAGCCATAGTGTATTAATTGTTTGTTGGCTGGAAATGATGATCAAAATAATTTTTCTTGAGCTTGCATGTGGTATATTACACCATTGACACAACTTCTGAATTGTAGAAAATTTCGGAGATGCATATTTGAAAATTTTCAATGTTTAATTTTTTGCAGGAATTTCCGAGATGCATCTCCGAAATTTTCAACATTTTAGTTTTCCCCAAACCCAGAGATGCATCTCTGGAATTTCCTACCGTAGTTTTTTTTAATTTATTTTCTTGCTTGTGTGTTGTTTGCTTGCACTAATGGTTTGCCTTACTTTAACTTACAAGCATAATGGCTGATAGACATGATAGACTGAGGCATGACAAGGTTTCTCAACACGCATATGTTCGGCGGGAGAAGAGATAACAGGTTCCAGATGCTCCAGGCCCCTCTAGTCAGGCAGAGCAATCTACTTCTGGTGTCCGTGCTTATCCTGAGGCCACCCCATCTTCTTCTTCCCGTAAGAGACGGGATTCACCATCTGACGTATCAGTTCCCCCATCTTTCTGTAGGCGTTAGGTTTCACCAGTGCCACCTCCTACGGATGATGTTGTTGATCCAGTCCCACCTCTTGTCACACCTTCTACTGATGATGTTGTTGATCTAGTGCCACCTCCGAAGGGTGAGGCTGCTACTGATGTTGGGCCAGAGGCTTTTGGAGTTGGTCCAATTGATTTGTCCTTACTGCCTTTGTATCCAAACCATATTGTCAGACATATTTGGGATGAAGAGGTAGCAATAGTTGGATTCTTTATTTATTTTTACGTTTATTTTAATTTCTGACATTAATTATTCCTGACATATTTCAGGAGCGTGATCCCCATAAGTTTCTTAACCACGGGAGAAAGATTGCTACCTTGCCTCAGCAAGATGAGGATTGGTTTCAGTTGGTTGTGTCCTTATTTGACGTGAAGGACTTGTGCATGAGCAGTTACACTACATTCAACCACGTGATGTTTAATGCATTTGTGGATAGATGGCACTCAGAGACCTCATCATTTCATCTCCCGTATGGTGAGATGTCTATCACACTCAACGATGTCTCGTGTTTGCTACGTCTTCCGATAAGTGGGAGATTCTTAGATCATGAGAGGATTACCAAAGACGAGGTACTCAAGATGATGGTAAAGTATCTTGGGGTTGATCCAAGAGAGGCAGTGAAGAATGAGGATAAGACCAGGGGTGCTCATGCTAGATTTGAATTCCTAAAGACGATATATGATAATGAGATCCTTAGAGCACACAAGGCTGATGGTAATGATGAGTAGGTGGCGCTCCACAGATCGCATGCATTGAGAGCATACCTGTTTTATTGGGTTGGCACTACGACTTTTGTGGACAAGAGTGCCTCTTATACAAACGTCGTCTATCCACGCTACTTCGTGGATCTCGAGCGAATCCATGAGTACAACTGGGGGTGGCTTGCTTGGTCTACTTGTATTCGAAGTTGAGAGTGGGATGTATGTGAAAGACGAAGCAAGTCACAAGTAATGTGACACTATTGACGGTAATAAATTTGGTCTTTATATGTTTTTTTTTAATTTTCATTTCATATTTGCAAAGCCATTACCGATGACTCGTGTGTTCCAAACTTTTTATTTCAGGCTTGGAACCTCCAGCACTTCCTGTGCATCTTTGGATGGGCGAGTGTACCTGAGTATATTGAGGGTATGTCGCGTCTTACTGCTTTTATCCCGCTCAGAGGGAATCAGGCGACCGAGTCTTACAAAGTCTATCTTAACTGTTTGGTTGTTGAGCACGTACATTTCAACAATTATGTTGATCATCGTCAAACGCGACCATTTGACGAGATAGTGTTATACTCTTGATGGTTGGCTTGCGGATCACATCTCACTGCTCCTCATCTTCCCGAGCGCGTTTTCAAAGGGCACAAACAGATGCCCTACGTTTTCAAACTATTCATATTTCTTAAATTTTCAACAGCTAAGAATGTAAAATCTACAAACTCCATTCACACATATAGTTATAGAACTCAGACCCAGCCTAATAATTCTTTGGGCAAAACGCGGACTGGTTCGGATTCTGGATCTCAAACCGTCTCAACAAGTCCTACCAATTCTACAGCATCTTCTCGCCCAAATTTAGGTGACAATTCACGCCGTCAATCTCGTGGTGTTCGCCATCTACCAAGTGCAGAGGTTAATGAGCGTCGTGCGAAAGGACTCTGTTTTCGTTGCAACGAACGATGGGATCCTCTCCATCAATGTGCAACAAGACAGTTACGATTGATTATCTTGGGGGATGACGAAATTGTTAACAATGCAGGAGAGATTGTGGTGTTGGAGGCTGCGACGGAAGAAGAGCTCACACAAGAGGAATTAGAATGTAAAACCATGGGGCTGTTTGGTGTATCCACTAATCCAAATCAGGTCTGGACGATGAAATTGGAAGGATGTTTACAAGGTGCATTAATTCTGGTAGTTATTGACAGTGGAGCCACACATAATTTCATATCACCTAAGGTGGTTGAAGAGTTGGGATTGTCTATGGTGCCTTCTAATCCTTTGGGTGTTAAGTTAGGAGATGGTCATCGTGTCCTAACTAGGGGTAGATGCAACGGAATTCAGATGAAAGTGGGATCAGTGCAGATTTGCTTTGATGCTTATGTGTTGGAGTTAGGAGGTGTGGATTTGATTTTAGGAGTTGCGTGGCTAGAAACGTTGGGGAAGGTGGCCATGGATTGGAAAGAAATGTCTATGGAGTTCAACCATAAAGGCAATATGGTGAAACTACTTGGTCAGGTTGTAGATGATAAGATGGCTACTTTCCAAAGCATTATCACTCCTTCTCGAATGATAGTAGGCTGTGAATGGCCTACCTTGATGGAGGTGTTAGGGTCACCGGTGTCGTGTGTCTCTGATCAACAGACTAAGGAGTTGGAAGGATTGCTGGAGCATTTTGTTATTGTGTTTAAAGAAATCCAAGGTCTTCCTCCGTCAAGAAACACTAGTCATTCAATTGAACTTTTACAGGGTGCGGGTCCGGTAAGTGTGCGACCTTACAGATATCCTCATTTACACAAGGATGAAATTGAAAAACAGATTCAGAGCCTATTGCAACAAGGGGTGGTTAGAAACAGCACCAGCGCTTTCTCTAGTCCCGTCATTGTGGTCAAGAAGAAGGATCAATCTTGGCGTATGTGTGTAGATTACCGTGCACTCAACAAGGTAACAATTCAGGACAAGTATCCTATTCCGGCTGTAGATGAATTGTTAGATGAGTTACATGGCTGTAGTTATTTCTCTAAGCTTGACCTTAAATCCGGTTATCACCAAATTCGTATGAAGGAAGAGGATATTCATAAAACTGCTTTTCGGACTCATGAGGGTCACTATGAGTTTTTGGTAATGCCGTTTGGCCTCACCAATGCTTCTGCAACTTTTCAATCGGTGATGAATGCAATTTTCAAGCCCTTTCTAAGGAAGTTTGTCCTGGTTTTTTTTGATGATATCCTAGTATACAGTAGTAGTTGGGCTGAACATTTACAGCACTTGGAGGTGATTCTTAATATTCTATAGCAGCATCAGTTTGTGGCAAATCGGAAGAAATGCACTTTCGGTCAGCACCAAGTGGAATATTTGGGCCATGTCATTTCCAAAGCAAGGGTTGCTGTTGATCCTGCCAAGGTCAGCAGTGTGTTACAATGGGAAGGGATGGATGTTGGAGATGCTACCTGGGAAGAGGATCGGATCCCACAAATGATGATGGGAATGTGTTAGTTAATAGAGATATTATTGGACCTAAACAATGGAGGGTATATGTGAGAAAGAATAGAAAACTCCACAAATAAATAGGAGTTAGTTTAGGTATTATTCTCCATATAAATAGGAGTTAGTTTAGGGATTATTCTCCATATAAAGAGGAGTGTATGGGGCAGTAGTTAGGCATTGATTGATTTTCTGTTTTTCTGATATTAGGGTTTGGGCAATGAGAGAATAGTTTCTCTGACTGAGGAGCAGTAGCTCTGGAATTTATTTTACTTTCACATTCATTAATAAAATACTTTTCTTTATCATATTAAATCATACCTCTGTTCTATCATATAACATCTAGAAAACTTAGATATACCTAGTCTATAAATGAGTATGGCACATATATCCATACCTTATTGAGTTTGAATCTAATGAACATAATCTGAATGCAGCAAACTTTTCCTTGCATGTTCCCTGCAAGCATTACATCAAGAAATAACAGATAACAAAGCAACAATGTTATACCAAATGAGAATACATAAATACCAAGCTTATATGGAAGAACTGATGACACTGAGAGGACAACTTGAGTGTTCAGATAACCATGTGCGGATTTTTTATATAACAAGCGGAATTCTGCTTCAGAAGTTCCCTTGGTAACTCACTGAATTCATATTTTCATCTCATTGCTTAATCTATCTAAGACCAATGTGAGTTCTTTCATGGGAAATTCAAAAGATCCTCCAGCCGAAAATTCTTGAACTACTCCATTGATTTCAATCATGCTACAACCCGGGACTTTTGTTTCAATTCCTCTTTCTTTCATTAAATTCCTTAATCTTTTGGCAGCATCGAACCTACCAGTTTTGGCATATATATCACATAAATTCATATAGAAAGCATGATTAAGAGGCTCCAAATCTAACAAATGACATGCTACATTTTCTCCTAACTCTATATTTCCATGCATCTGACAGCCACCAAGTAATGCACCCCATACATAAACATCTGGCTTCATTGGCATGCTTCTAATGAGAATCATTGCTTCTTCGAAGAGCCTCGCTCGACTAAGAATATCAACCATGCAAGCATAGTGATAAATTTGTGGTTCAATCGAGTAAACATGTTTCATTACATCAAAACACCAGCGACCTTGATCTACCAAACCAGAATGGGAACAAGCTGACAATAGTCCAACAAATGTCACATGGTTAGGCTTTACTCTAGCCCTTTCCATCTCTAAAAAGCAATCAAAAGCCTTCATTCCTAATCCATGAAGAGCAAACACCGAAATCATTGCCGTCCATGCTGAGGCATCCTTCTCCTGCATGTTGTTGAAGATCTCAAATGCTTGTTCCACATTTCCACATTTGCCATACATATTGACAAGTGCTGTTCCAATCACCACATCACACTCTATGTTGTTTTTTCTTAAATACGCATGCACCCATCTCCCATGGTCTATAGAACCTAGTTGAGCACAAGCTGAAAGGACACTAGCTATTGTAATCTTATCCGGTTTAACCACATTATCACCACTCAAAAACTGCATTTCATGGAAAAGTTCCAGCGACTCCTTTGCATGGCCAGCTTGAACCAACCCTGTAATAATCGAATTCCAAGTTATAATATTTCTTCCATTCATATTTCTAAACAAATTCAACGCCATGTCAAGTTCCCCATTTCTCAAATACCCAACAACCATCGAGTTCCAAGTGACAACATCTCTAACAAACATTTCATCAAACAACTTCTTTGCATTATTCAAAAGCCCAAAATTCATAAATAAACTGATCAAAGAATTCCCAACAAAAACATCATTCAAAAATCCAAACTTTAACCCCTGTGCATGAATAACTTGGCCAGCAGTAGCACCACACTGCAACCTATTACAACCCTTTACAAGAAAAGGGAAAGTAAGGTTATTTGGGACAATCCCCTTGTTAAGCATTTGCTTATACAACAACAAAGCCTTAAAATAATGGTTATCATCACCTTCATTAATGCATCCATATGCTCTAATCATGATGTTATAGACACGAAGATCTGGGTTCCTGATCATGTGAAAGACATTGCTGGCATAGGTGAAAGAACCATAATTGGAGAAGGAGCAAGAGAACAGTAAACGGGTAATGAGATAATATTGGTCATCTGTAAGTAAAATTGGGGACTTTAGAATTTGGGTATGAACAATTTTGATTTCTCTAAGGTTCTTACATTGTTGAACCAATCTAGAGAGAGTGTTTTTGAAAGTGACGCTTTTAGATTCCCCTAAAAAATTTGACATCGAAGAATGTAACCATAACAGAGCACCAAACTATTTGATGAAATCAAAGTAAGGTTGTGTCTAAAATCCAATTAAAACATTCTTCATAACAACTCTGCGCAAACCTACACTGCGTGTGAAAGTGGAACAGAAGAGAACCAAATGAATAGAAATTCAAACAAGTTGTTAATCGAACGTCAAATGTTTTCAAGATCAACAGAACATAGAGAAATAAACGAGTTAATTACCGTTTTAGTGCTCAACATTACAACAAGTTATGACGAGTTTACTTGACGAATATTAAAAAGAGGGAAGATCATGAGTGAGATTATTTTAAAGGAGTCTAAATAAATATATCTTTTATTATCAACTAATTACTTAAGAAATCTTGTTTATGTTAGTTTTGATATAGATAAAGTTCAAACTCAGATAAAACGTTACGGATTGTCGCGGCACGAAATATATTTGGGTGAAAGAAACGTTTGAAATATAAATAAAATAAAGTCGTCACCGAACTTTATTTATTTTCAAAAAAGAAAATAAGAAATATCGATAAAATCCACAAAAAACAAAAAGAAATGGTCGTCGTAACTAAATCGGATTCGGAGAGTTGATTATGTAAGAGAAAGATATTAGCATCCCTTACATCTATCGTACTCGATGAGACTCATTTAGTTAGTTTTGTGTTAGAGTGTTAGCGTGTTATTAGTTTACGATCTTCTACTTGTCGAATGAGAAATGAGAAAGAAAGAAAGAAAAGACTTAGATTTTTTATTATTTACGTGCTCGCCAAGATATTAGAATAATGCGCCTACGTATTTCTCATGGTCTAATGAGAAAATCAGAGCTTCGTAGTTTTACTCACTAAGAACTACAGGTTGGTTGCTTTTAAGGAGTAATCCTTTAGAGATATCGAGTGTTTTAAACCTTTACTTAGTGCTCACATCAATATGGATCCCCATCAAAGTCTGCATTGAATCCCTTACACACCAATGGATGTAAACAAATAGCATGTCCTTATACTAAAATGGGTTGAAATGTATGCATGCCCAATCTATGCAAAGTAGGCGCTCTATTTAGCAATATTGGATACCCCGACATAACTTCTTGAAGTATTTCCCATACAATTGGTTCTTTTTTCCGGATTTGACTCTTAGCAACTCCTATGTTGGAAGCAAAATGGTTTCAAATTAAACCACGAATTAGAAATGTCTGAAATAGCTCTATTGCTATTTCGGGGGGAATTCACATCGATGTAGTGAAAGTAATGGACCTACGAAAATAACAGAACATACTCATTTCTAAAAAAGGGTTTAAGTTGCTTTGCGGGAAGTGAGTAAATATTTTAGCAGATGTGGGCATCAAGCGCGCGTTTCCTCGGGATTCACATGAGTGTGCTACCATTGTCCCTTTATTCTAATTGGTTTTAATTTGAAAGACCAAATAGTCGTTTGGAATCCGGTGTGCTCCGAACGCTCGACTATTAAAGGGTCTAAAGAGATGTGCATCTCTCAGTCTTTTCTTTCAATTTTCTTACAAAAAAATGTTCCATCAAACGAATTTACGTTGGATCAAGTGTTTGTAATTTGATTATGAAAATAATTTGGATGTGGCGAGGGTGATGCTCGATGTTGCATTTTTTTAATCAGACACTCTTCCTGAAAACTACAACCTTCTGTAGAGAAAACCTTCCCTCAAACATCAGGACCTTGTTCAGCTGCAAAGTGAAAATCCTTTAAGGTCCTGATTATGACCAGCATGTCACAGTACAATGGGATGACATCAAATTTAATGAACCATGAGATAAAATAGTTTCTTAATGAAGAAGTATCAGGAGCATACACAACAGAATAAAAGAAACAACCAACAGCTCCAAAACAACTTGTTAAGACATCTTGTCTGACATAACTATCAGCAGAACTCCCCTTGAATTGTATAGCACAAAGAGAAATAATGTCCAGACACAATATGGAAACACACATCACTTGGTGGAAACAGACAATCTTGATCAACTGCAAGTGTTCTACACCTCTTTCCTCTGTCAAAGTTTCCTAAAACGTCTCGTCATTTAATTTAGCATTTTGTGTACAGCTAGAGATTCAAAGCTTTGTTCCTAATAACATCATCTTGACCTACGTAAATTACTGAGATAAATCCAAAAGGAATATCACAAAATTAAAACAAAACAAATTTGTCAAGATTTTAAAATAATTAGAACAGATGTTCTTGTAGAACATGTTCCAACATCTGTTAGGACATCTGCTCTCAAGGTGAGCTGAGCAGCATGTTACAACATTGCACACGACATCCTGTAGTGAACCATGTTTTAGCAAAATTGTTGACAATCCAAAAACCATGAAATCTTTAAACTAATAATAATTAAAATAAAATAGAAAATTCAAAACCACACACACAGACTATCCACAATGAATCTGTATTGCTACCTAATCGAAATATAGCTAAGATAAAATAAATAAATAAATAAATATATATATATATATATATATATATATATATATATATATATATATATATATATATATATATATATATATATATATATATATATATATATATATATATATATATATATATATATATATATATATATATATATATATATATATATATATATATATATATATATATATATATATATATATATATATATTATAGTTTCCATTGTATATATAATTTTAGCATGTTGCCTTATGACACGTGTATGTACTTTAGCTTCATAATAGCCACACATTGCTTTGTATGTAATCTGATACTTATATTCTTTTAGGATATTGTGAATGTATGAAGAATAACAGTTACTACTCATAACTATTTTGTAACAAACTTTTGCTTCATCTTCTTCTTCTCCAATGGATATTGAACTCATCTTCAGCTTCTTCTCCAATTGTATTCTGGTTATTGTAACATTGATATGGTACCAGATCCTGGTTAAAGGTTTTTGGTTCAATAACCCACATATCAATTTTTCAATAACCAAGAGACAATTTGGAGAAGAAGCTGAAGATGAGTTCAAAATCCATTGGATGCAGACGTGTCTATAAAATTAAACACAAGGTAGATGGATCTATAGAGAGATATAAAGCTAGGTTGGTAGCAAAGGGTTATACACAAATGGAGGGCATTGACTACTTTGATACCTTTTCCCCTATTGTCAAAATTACCACAGTTCATGTTCTTTTATCTCTAGCACCATTAAGGGGTGGTACTTGGAGCAGTTAGATGTTAACAATGCATTCTTCTATGGGGACTTACATGAAGAGGTATACATGACTCTTCCTCTAGGTCTATCTGGCTTTAGTGAGTCCAAAGTGTGTAGGTTACAAAAGTCTCTCTATGGCCTCAAACAGACCAGCAGGCAATGGTATTCCAAGTTATCTGCATTCCTTATTTCTCTTGTATATAAGTAATCTCAGGCTGACCACTATTTATATGTTAAACATGCCAATCATAAATTTACTGCATTATTGGTATATGTAGATGATGTTGTTTTGGCAGGTAATTTCATATCTGAGATCCATAAAGTTAAACACCTTCTGGACCAACAGGTCAAAATCAAAGACCTTAGTCAATTGAGATTCTTCTTAGGATTTGATATTGTTATATCTCAAGTTGGCATCTTTCTTAATCAAAGAAAATACACACTTGAACTATTAGAGAATGTTGGTCTCCTTGCAGGAAAACCATTTGCAGTTCCCTCAAGCCTAACTCCAAATCTTAGTGGCCTGATCCATTTTGACGAAGTGATCAGCAGTTTCCTTAGTCACCATTTCCCAACTTGGATTACCCATGTCATTTGAACTTGGATTATCAGCAACCTGGTCGAGACCGTCAGTAGCCATCTTTACACAATCCTCTTGTCCGAAACCCATGATAACCTTTGCCATTACAACCTCATTCATGAGATTATCAGTAACCTCTATCGTGTTAATTAAAAAGTCATAGCCAGTAGTGGCTTCGACCATGTTAATCTCCAACGACTCTGTATAATGGGCATCTGCCATCTGCAGGAGGTCTGTATCGACCTTTATTTGGCTGTTGGCCTTCTCCCTGAATTTCAAACGTCCTTCTTGAATTGCATTTTGAACGAGATCCCTGAAAAGAAAACATTGAGATGTTTTATGACCCCAAAAATTATGGTATTTACAAAACCCTTTTTTTTCCTTTGTTCTAAAGATGGTATTTTAGCACCAAGTGGCACTATCATTTGCCCATCTTTTAATAACAAATTGAAAATCTCATCACACTTAGTGATGTCAAAATTATACGTTTTCTTTGGGAACCTATCATTCTTTTCAGATTCGGTGAAATTCTTCCCCTGTGGGTGTCGCTACTGCAAAAATTGGCGCCGGCTAAACAGAAGAGTCGCCACCGTGCGTTATTTATCCCAACAGAGGGAAAGGAAATGCTCGAAGTAAACCTCACGCAAAGACGGGAAAGGAATGGTCATCGCAACCAAATCCTGGATTCGGGAGTCGGTTACGTAAGGGGAAGGTATTAGCACCCCTCACGTCCGTCGTACTCGACGGGATCCACGCTTGTTTTCTAGTACGGATTGTTATTCTATCTATTCTAAAGTTCAAGGGTTAAAAGAAAAGAAAATGACTCGGCAAAGTATCGCACTTTATGCCTACGTATTCCCGTCTGAAACGAGAAATCAGAGTCAACGTAGTTCGCCTACCTACGGGAAAGGAGGGAAGGTTGCTCGCTAGGTTATCGCATCCTATGCCTACGTACTTTCATACAGCATGAAAGATCAGAGCAAACGTAGTTCGGGCCACGGGAGACACAAATTTGTCTGACTGTTTTTTATCCTTCTGAAAAAGGTTTTCTCCTGATTACGGGTCCAAGCGGGCAAAAGTGACACTTTGATTGGTTTTCAGTCTTTTACACAAGAACTGTCTTTTATTGATGTTTAAAACCTTATTACTGTGTTTTGAATGATTTTGAGATAGAAGAGAAAGAACTCTAAAAATCTATGGTTAAAATGGGAATCAAAACTA